CAAGTGGGGCACCTGAGGGCTCAGTTTTAAGCACTTTGCTCTTTTTTATTTACATCAATGATGTAGATGAAGGAATGGTCAATAATTTACTTAAACTTGCTGATGATATTAAGATTTTGGATGATGCTAACTGTGAAGAAGATGCTACTGCTTTACAAGAGGATTTAGATCATTTAGTGAGATAGGCAAATAAATGAGATATTAATTTTGATTTTAATAAATGCAAGATAATGCATGTGGGTTATCATAATTTAACTTATAAGTATTAATTCGAATGGGAATAACCATAACAGTGTCATGAAAGAAAGGCAGAAAATTTAAGTGAGTTTAAGAAAAAGCTTCATAACTATATGAATGATAAGGGCTGGCTTTAAGATTTGAATCATATTTATTGATTTTAATATATTTATTTGACTGTTTTAGCTTAGTTTAGAGGATGGGACAGTCGAATAGACCAATAAGTCCATTATTGTTCCTAAACATTATGTTATTATGATATCAATGGCTGTCATGTTTGGTGGCCTATGGATTGCTTGTATATAATTATATATTAATTATTATTTCCCGTTTTTAGTACTATATACTAACCACTGGGTAGTTTTTACTCAATATTTTGGCTGCTTATTTGCTACACTTTTCAGGGAAGTCCTGATAAATACTGTTTTTTTTTGTTTTGTTTTTAGTATTAGTGGCCAGGATTTAAACTCGCCTCTTCTTGAAAAAAGACTAGTGTAGTATCCATTTGTCTGGGGTCTCCCCTGACAGAAGTTTAATCAACTAACTTATTCGAATACTTTCAAGAGGGGGATTCAGGATTTTCTGACTTCTGTACTAGGTTAACTGAGTGTGCTATCAGTTACGTGGATGTAGAAGGATTTTTAATCTTCATTTTGTTTCTCTGTATGTGATTTATTTCCTGTTATTTTAGCATTATTCCAATTTATCGGATGATTTTCTTCTCTGGCATGATGTGCTGTTGCAGGTAGACTAATGTTATCGAGTCTTGTATGTATATTCTGCTTCTGAATTCTAACTTTTCTTGGTCTTTTTGTTTCTCCAATGTATTGAAGACCATACTCATAAGGGATGGTGTTATTGCCCTCCCTTATCCTTGTCTTTTTTTAATTAATGCTGCTTTTCTGCCGACTGATTAAATGACAGGCGTTATTTCAATTTTCAAACTTCGAATATTTTATGTTGACAAAATAAGGCTATAAATTTGAGCTATTCTCAGTTCAATAAATATTGTTACGCCTCCAGTCGTTAGTTAATTTTCCGTAACTTCGTTCCGACGAAACTTTAGCGACAAAAGTCCTTACTTAATAAAACTGGTTTATTCTTTCCGAATACAACTTTACGACACACTTAATTTCAACAGTCGCGCTATAACAAACGCTATATCTTACGTGGCCAACAATATTTTGTCTGCATACATTCAATTACTCATTACACTGTTGTTCCGTCACGTTATGAGCGTCTAATATATATACCAGACTAACATATATCTAGTAAATGCTAGGGCATTCTTGAAGGAACAGGATATTTCTAAAAATACGTGGCGTGATACTAGTCACGTGACCTCGCTGACGCAACAATATGTTTTTTCTTGATTTTTGCAATATACCTTCAAATTTACCCGTCATTATAATTTCAGGCAATATATTTATATATGAATGTTTTATTACTTAAATACGTATCAAATGTGTGTATCTATTTATTGAACAACAAGAAAAAACAAACACTTCTTGTTACAATATCAGCGCCAAACATATTTGCACAACGTATTGTGACGTCTCTGGTCGTTTGCTAATTTCCCGTATAATTTATTTCCAAAGAAACTTTAGCGATACAAGTCCTTTCTTAAATAAAACTAGTTTATTCTTTCTCAATACAACTTTGCAATACACTTAATTTCCACAGTCACTTTAACTTAAACACACGCTATAATTCACAACGATTCACGCACTTTAATTACGGTCACTACCGCGCTTGACTCAATTGTCCGTCTCTGTCTCTGCCTGTCTGTAATTCAATTAATTATCTCGCTTTATTTGCCTGCTTATATACAGGAATAGAGGGCGTCTAGCAAATACTGGATTATTCGTGATGTTCCCCGATCCTTCTAGATACTCACGTGACGCTGGTAACACGTAATACTTTCGCTGTCGTAACAATATTAAAAGTGGGAAACAAAACATATATAATACACAAATACTGCGAAAATTGTTGTTTCCAATTCAGTCACCGTAAATTTATGTATTTTATTTTCTTGGTTACGATTGGTTTGTATATTTCATATTATTATTATTCAGAGGGGTTTGCCCCCCAGTGGCACAGCGGTATGTCTGCGGACTTAAAACGCTAGAAATCGGAGTTCGATGCTCGTGGTGGGCAGAGCACAGATAGTCCATTGTGTAGCTTTGTGCTTAATTCCAAACAAACAAACAAAACAATCAGAGGGGTTTATGTATTTTATTTTTCTTGGTTACGGTTGGTTTGTATATATCATATTATTATTATTCAAAGGAGTGGGTTTATGTATTTTATTTCCTTGGTTACAATTGGTTTAAGTATTTATATATTCTTTATCACAGTGAATGTGTGTATTTTATTTTCTTGGTTACAGTTGGTTTGTGTATTTGATATTCTTAGTTATTGTGTTTATGCGTATTTGATTTTTTATCACAGTGGTTTTGCGTATTTGGTCTTTTTGTTGAGGCAGGTTTGTATATTTGATATTCTTAGTCACTCGGATTTATTTTATGTTTTGTATATACTTGGTTTGAGTATTTAATATATTTGCCACTGTGGGTTTGTTTTTGATTTCCTTTCACACTGTTCACTATAATCAAAGAACTTTTACAACTGTTAGATGCAAAAGCACAATCTTAGGTATCTCTTCAAATGCAAATAAAATGATTTTTGATGAATTACATCCAAAAGCTTAAACTGCAGACAAAATCAAGAACTTATGCTTATTGTCATACAATTATCCGATAAATTTGTTATTTTGAATTTATTTTTTTCCAAACACATTAGGTTTAATCAATTTCATGGAATGTTACACTTTCTGAGATATTTTGGAAAAGAGTGCATCAAAGAATATGAAAAAGGTTGTTACTGAATTGGTAGTTTGCTCCAATGAAAGAAATGCTTAAGATGTTTCTACTTGCTACGTGATATTTAGCTCTTACGTTTCTATTTTTATCGAAAATATGTTTACTCTTAAGGCAGTTCTTTGAAAAAAAAATAAGTAACAGTATAAGTATGTGATAATTTTTAAATATCGTTATTGTACAATTACGGTTTTTCTTCTTCTAAAATATCTCTTTCTTAAACTAACAATATAATATCAGAGTATTGAATGAACATCTGCTTCGTGGTGTTCATTATTTGTCCACAAAAAAGATTTATTGTCGTATAAACTGATTTGAATATATATAAGACACAACGATAAGCATAATGAAATGTTTTAATACATACTACATGTTTCGACAGAGCATTGGTCTGCCTTCTTCAGATAGTCATAATGAAAAAAATATAATTAACTTACTTACAAGGATGTTACTTTTAAAAACTTTTTGTAGCAGCTATTCAATGTGGAAGAAATACCTAACTTAAACATTTATTTTTTCACAATAGACTTTCGAACTGCCTACGTCTTAACGACGTTCTTCGACAAATTGGACTTACCAAGGACGAATTCGTTCAGTTCTACCGCAACATTAAGATCTTTTCAATCCCCAGGCACGAATTTGAAGGAAGCGCCACCTGCAGGCAGTTTATGGCTGGCACGAAACTGGACTCCGAGGATAACGGGAAAGCCACAATCGATGTTCTTTGCCTGAACAGTGACATAAGAGAAGTTCTCGGAATCGAGCTAGTAACCCTTAGGTAGCGCACTGCCAGGAAATGGTGGACACAGTAATGTAAAGCTTTTCTTGGCATGGAACAGGGCGTTATTTGTTTCTGCTGGTGCTCAGTGTAGGTTTTGGAATGTGACACCTTTAATAAATGCTGCGTATAGTATGGTTCTTGGAATAAAGCCAGGTATACGAAGAAGTGATGCTAGAAGAAGCGACTAACTACGCATGTCACGTTATAGTAACTACAGCATCAATCTTATTTAAGTTGCCATGGACACTGCATGTTAGATTATGCTTACGTGAACGCTCGGGCAGCTAACAATATATTGCCTGGAAAATGCGAGTCACCGAGATATATGGTAATCATATGTCATCTTCACTGACTGATTGTTGTTGTCCTTTTTGCTCCATGTGTGGTCAAGTCAGACCTCCCCCCGTGATATTAGACTTGCTTTAAACCTTTAATAGAGAATGCGACCGATTATATCGTTGTTTTAAGAAGCAAAGGAAGGTTTCAGTTTTGTTTTACTTTATAGGTATAATTAACAAGGATGTGAAGATCGTTCACGCCATTTGTTTGGTGGTGTTTCGTTGAGTTTGGATGTACATATGTAAATAAGAGTTAGAAAAACCTATAAGTTATCATGTACCCTGAATAATAATAATATCCGACATTCGTTTCTCGTTGGTTGTGCTATATTAAAAGTCGTTTTCATATACATATGACCTATCTGGAGTGGCTATTATAAAACTGCTTTCGTTAAGTTTTTAATTTGATTAATTACAGAAATCAGTACTTAAATATTCCATTTCACCAAACACTTTTTTTAACTATTAAAATATTTCAAATGTTAACTACTTGTAGACAACATTAACATACGAGTACACTAAAGTTTGTTATAGTATTTTTCAGCCTGGATGAGTGCGTACGTATATATCATCGTTAGTCCACTGTAGATTAGTCTTGAGATAATTATATTAATAAACCGTATTTCTTGGAGCAGCGATAGGGGAAGTAGCTACAGTTGTTTTAAATGGAGTTATGAATTACACAGTTGTTTTTAATTCAATGATTTATTTTTACAATAAATGATAAATTTCCAGCTTTTGTTTTTTCTGGTCACCGACAGGTTTAGAGGAATAAAACTATAGGTTTCGGAATAGGGGGTGCTAGAGTTCTCCATCTCTTCCAATACAGGAGAAGCCAGCATTCATTTCTGCCCCCTCATAAATTTCGAGAGTCTTCCCCCATCTTGAATTACGTTTGTTTTTGTTTGTTTTTTAACCGAAATAGTAAATCATTATACCAAAAATAGAAAAATATTTAAAATGAATTTAGTAACTAGAGATAACGAGTCGAAAGAAAAGGTTAAGGTAAAAAACAGAAGTTAGTATCTTAAACTACTTATTTTTAAAATATGTTTTCATGTTTCCTCCCCAAATTGCAATTCTAATTGTAAAAACTTTTTCGTAGGAGGGGAAGTACATGCCCCATAGTTTCCGTTTGCTTTCTGACAAATTGGATGCGCTTTTAACTCCCATCTCCCTCCACATACACACACGCTGAACAAACATTCAACCCCGATTGGTTGATTTTTGAAATTTAGTGGGAACTTATTACTACGGAGATTAGGGCGATGTAAAGTTCATATGGATGATGAGTACTTAATACGGTTTTTGATGTGATATAAAAAATCAAAAATCAAATAGTCGCCAGAAAAAAAAGTAAACCAACAACAAACTAGTCTGTATCTTAGTACTCGCGTGTACTCGTCAGAGTTTCTGTCATTTTCAAATTATGTTCGACGTCATACAGATGATTGTGTAATATACTTCAGAAAGTTTGACAAATGTACAGTAAGTCGTAAATATATTTTATTAGTTACGTTTACAACTTTGCTTCACGCCTTAGCGTTTTGGGCACGAGATTAATCTTTAATATACACGTGTTTTATATATATATATACTCATCGAAGTTCGGTCTGTCATCTGCACTGAAAGTTTGTTCTTTCACTTATATGCGACACAAAGAACATGGAATAATTAGAAAAGTGATTGTTTTAACCGGTAGATAAACGAAAGAACTCTTTATTTAAAGATTAAACTGATGGATAATATGATCGGATAAGCTGAACTTTCTATTACGTCATTACGAGGTTGGTGTAACACTGAAGTTTTTTCACAAATCCCACATTTGATCAACTAATTTTTTTCTCTCTTTACCCCAAATCAGAATACGACAACTCAATAATCAAGATTATTTTTATATTACTTGTAAATATTATCTCTTTTGGAACATTATTTTGGAAGTCTAGGTTAAAATAAGCAAGAGTCAAGAAATGAACGTACACAGAGTTACTTGTAAGGAATTCAGTCTTTGTAATTACGTTTCCAATGTACATTAATTAGTAGATACAACGCCCCCTCTCTCTCATCTTATATGTTAATACGATAAATTCTCAAGTGTGAATGGTTGGATGCTCATTCTAGCAATGAATAGTTCATCTGTAAAGATTCCATACCTTATTGACTGCTGAGGTTGAATATTCAAGATGGCCGTCGTGACAAGCACTTTTTGGTATGGTAATAAATCGCTCAAAGCACTAAGGTGGAAGCGTATATTACAATCATATTTCGTATTCATTAAGATACCATGAAAGATGCATTTTTCAACATGGTGTTCAGCATCTTTGTTACTAAGAAAACACCTAGCGGTACACCTCTGCACTAAACTGTGTAGACATAATTACCGTATGATTAAAACCCTAGTAAAGAATGTACAAAATATAATTTATTCTAATATTAAAACATCGTCATCTTTTAGGCAACTTCTAAACAATATAAGCCAAGAGTTTGACTTGTGGTGTGTCAATATCATTTAAACAACTTGTTTACACGAGTTTCTCGCTACAAAAAATCTCCAACTCCGATTTGTTTGAATATTTTCATAATGTCTTGTCCAACAGATCAATTGTAAAACTCTCCCTGAACTTAAGATAACGAAAAATAGTTAAGTTTTGCTTCATCACCAAAATCTAATAGACTACACACAGGATAACATTACATATTTCCATTATATTTGGTCTAATTTCAAATATCTCTAAATGTATATATATTTGAAAAAGTCGTGACTAAAACAAACTCAAGATATTTTCAGATTTCTTAATATCATATATAATTACGAAATTCACCCACGATCAATATCATCCTTAATTAGAAAACTCATCCACTGTTAATATCATTTGTAATTATGAAACTCACCCACGATCAATATCATCCTTAATTAGAAAACTCATCCACTGTTAATATCATCTCTAATTATGAAACTCACCCACTGTTAATATCATCTCTAATTATGAAACTCACCCACTGTTAATATCATCTCTAATTATGAAACTCACCCACTGTTAATATCATCTCTAATTATGAAACTCACCCACTGTTAATATCATTGCCAAGTTATTAATTAAACTAATCAGCCTCCCATGCCTTATCTTTACAATCTGAGGTTCGACTTTTACGTTAAAACGAAACAATAAAAGTAACTTGTATACCTGCTTCTCATAAATTCTAATTGGACATACAACGAGCATGGGGGCATTTATTTTTCGTACAGCAGTGATAAATGGGGATCTTTTCTGTTTTATGCACCGCGTTCAAATAGAAAAAAAACTGAATGTAGCTTTTTAATGGTGATTTCAGAAATATAAATAAAAATTTGGATAAATCAAAAGAAATATTTTAATATTTCTCATTTTGCTTATGAAACAAAGAAAATACTTTTAGCATTACATATATACTTAAGTATTTAAAAGAATTGCAAACATCAAGACAATACAAAGTATCTAGTTACAAATTCTATGTGAAATTTCTGAAATATTCTTCAATATTTGCTTGTAGAGATCATCATTTTCATGCCTACAACGCCAAACGAAATCGCAGTGATAGGAGTCAGTCATGTTACGATTGATTCTACAATGTCACTTGTTACGTCTCTTAACCACATTCCAAGTACTTTCAACTTGCTGCTGATTTCAGAAATATAAATTGAAATTTGGAGGATTGATTTGTAAAGGAGAAAAAAAATGGGAAAATATTTCATTTTTTTAAATTAAATTATTTTTTATTTAAATAAACATCTAATTATTTACTAATTAGTCTAACTTGATCTAACCTCACATAAATTGACCTAACCTAGCAAAATAATAATAATAAATCATTTCTTTTGATTTCTCCAAAGTTTAATTTATATTTCTGAAATCACCATTAAAAACTACATCCATTTGTTTAACGCAATACATGAATCGGCCTGGCATGGCCAGGTGGTTAGGGAGCTCGACTCGCAATCTGCGGGTCGCGGGTTCAAAGCCCCATCACACCGAACATGTTCGTTATAATGTGACGGCCAATCCCACTATTCGTTGGTAAAAGAGTAGCCCAAGAGTTGGCGGTGGGTGGTGATGACTAGCTGCCTTCCCTCTAGTCTTACACTGCTAAATTAGGGGCGGCTAGCACAGATAGCCCTCGTGTAGCTTTGCGCGAAATTCAAAACAAACAGTGCATGAAACATAAAAGATCCAATAAAAGGTAAAAAAATATTAATAAATAAACGTAAAAACAAAAAAGGTTGATGATAAAGATTTTGGCGAGATATGTTAGACCTTTGGAATCAATATAATAATATTTCTTACAAAATTGATTCATTTCTAACTCTGCCTCTCCTTCCATATTTTACATTCGACAAAAATATCGCTTTTTATTGTAAAAGAGGAAACGAAACACTCTCAAAATGTAGTGTAACCTTTTTGGTGACGAGCCCCTCTTTCTCTGAAGCATCGACGGAATATAACATTTGTTGTCCCATTATTTTCATCAGGATATTATCTCTCATATTAACATAAATAGCAAATACTTCCATGAAAACTAAGCAGTAAGCTCTATGAATAAAGCTAGGGCTCCCTCTGTTGTCTCTAACACTTAAAAATTTAGTGAATATTATTTTCTCTCATCTCTACATGCAAAATATCATAACTACTATTTTATCCTTTGTATATTTCATTTACAATGTATATATATATAATACGGTATTTTAATCATATCTTCTGCTATTTGTCTTTCAAACAAGACATTATACCTACTGCCTGGTATCTAACACTTAAAAAATTTAGTGAATATTATCTTCTCTCATCTCTACATGAAAAATATCATAACTACTATTTTATCCTTTGTATATTTCATTTACAATGTATATATATATAATACGGTATTTTAATCATATCTTCTGCTATTTGTCTTTCAAACAAGACATTATACCTACTGCCTGGTATTTAAAAAAAGTGGTGAAAAATAGTATAACTGGAACAAATAAATTAGTCACTTACAGTCGAGGCTGTATGAACTTAAGCTACTATTAAATATCTTCGAAAAGTAGAAACGCCCACGTTCAATGCTATAGGACCCTTTCAACTGTCTCATCATGGTTCAACTTGGACAATTTCTTCCTGTTAACATTAAACTCAAACCTGCAGGTGGGCTATAGTCACGCGAGCCTCATTCACTTCACGTGCGTAGGCTCTGTGCTCCTTGCAGATCATGGGTTAATCTCACGTGCTCGTAGAAAAGAAGCCGTTCCAAATTCTAGTTCATGACATCACGACTGCCTTGGAGAAGTGCCAAGAGCTTCTAACTGTGGCTACAGTTCCAGACGGTGTTATTCGGGGA